AAGACCTTAAAGGTCTGGAAGAAACAGTAGCCAAAGAACTTCAAACATTGCACAATCTGCGCAAATTGTTCGTTCAAGATCTTCAGACTAGAATTAAGAAAAGCTTGAATGCGGAAGATAATGATGACGATGGTGGATCGCTTACGCAAAAACAAAAGATTTCCTTCCTTGAGTCTAATTTGGATCAATTGACGAAGGTACGCAATCATAAATCTCACCATGAGAAACCTTTTATTTTGTAAAGTTCAGTATAAATTGAATTTATGTTCTCCAATAGGTTCATAAGCAACTTGTGAGGGATAATGCTGATCTCCGATGCGAAATGCCCAAACTTGAAAAAAGATTACGAGTGACGATGGAGCGTGTAAAAGCTCTTGAAACAGCATTGCGAACTGCCAAAGAATGTGCAATGCGAGATCGTAAACGCTATCAGTATGAGGTAGATAGAATCAAAGAAGCTGTTAGACAGAAGAATTTTGTCCGTCGTGGAGCCAGTGCACAGATCGCTAAACCAATTAGAGCTGGTCAATACCATTTAACCGGTGTTAATGCTATTAGAACAGGAAATCGTGGTAAGTTTTATATATAAATTCTATTTTATCTCTTGTGGTTTTATATACAATTTTTTTTTAGATGCAAATAATTAAACATCTACATTCTTATTGTAAAATCGTGGGTTTGTTCGATTTTGTACAAAAGGAATCGGTCAGGAATGCTCAACAGTTTGGAGTAAGTGGGTTGTTTGATATATTTAAATCTACATCCATTTTAAAGTTATTTTAAATGATACGCAAAATTAGTTCAGTTTCGTACAAAAATATTTGTGAATATAAAAGTTATTGAAAAAACGAACAAACCTTGCGAAAATTTTTATTTTTTTAATAAAATGGGTATGGGCATGGGTGTTAGTTGTTAAAAACTTAAATTTTAGTTAATGTTTTCATTGATATATTTTTGATATTTGTTTATGTTTTTCATGTTTTTATACAGATATGGGTAACGACGTACAGTGATCGTGAGCATAATGCCAAACTCTTCACTTTTACAGAAAACCTCGAGAACGCTTTCACTCAAGGGACTCTATTTTCTACTGGATGCCCATAAATGTTACAATTATATAGTAAGGGTAATAGACGTAATATATCCGCAAGGAGCACCGCCAGTTCTTTTTATTTGTCTCGAAACAAGCATGTGCTTAGGTATATTGAAATAAGTGCATTAAGTTATAAAATTAGTGCTGCATGTCCTATCGATTTGTAAATAGTTAATTTTTATAAATTATTTAACTTAATATTATGCACGATAAATAAAGGTGAATGTCTATCAAATAATCATGCAAAGGCCTCTCGTAAACAATGTTTCAATATTTATTTTTATCGAAATTTTGTATACTGTATCCTGTATTTATAAAAAGATAAACGAATTCCATTTAATATAACATAGGAAATAAATTCCTGAAATTGACTCTAATATGATTTGATCAACTTGTCTATAGTAGCTTTATCTAATCTGCTATCGACGTTAAAATTACTGAACAAACGAGGCAGACTACTATTTAAGATTTGGTAGGTATCGCTGACATTAAATGCGATTGGACATGCGGCTTTGAGAAAATTGTAGGAATGATCGTGGCTTATAAGTATTTATAATTGTAAGAATGCTCTCCATTGCTATTAATAAATTCGTGACAACAGATTTTTTCGGACCTTTTCAGAGAGGGCTCGCTTAACCAAGAGTTAAGTTTGTTAGCTACTCTAAATATTACTGAGGTCCAAGAACCAATGACTTTATGAGAAAACGTTTTCGACAGAACAATTTCATCTCTATTTTCGTTCACATTTATTTTGTTAACTATAGCCCAGTTTTCATTGCATCAATCTTTATATAATCATCTAATTTAAATTAATTTATTATTGCTTATTTTTGTTTATATCAGAGGCTTTTATACTACATTTAAAATTTGCAGACCAACGAAATATGGTCTGTAGGAAAGTCTTTTATTTAGATAAACGTGTTAGTTTACGATTCTTCGTGTTGAGCTTATGCTCGCCAGTTACCTAGATGTATATCATACGTCTAATCGTGAGCTATTGCACAGGTCTGCTTAAGTTCCTAAAACCTGTTGCAGGCCACCGAAAATTCGCTCACACCTGTCTCTTTTTGTCTTTTCTTTTTCTTCTGTGTAGCCGTTGAATATAACGTATACACTTGCATTTTTTAGTAAACTCTATACTTAATCATATTTGTCAGTAATTAATGCTTTTCAATGCGTACTTTTTACGTACTTTTTTGTAACTATTTTATTTATGGTTCTCTTAGAAATGTACGAGCCACACGTACTTGATGTATTGTCTAGAGCAGGAGAATTCTAAACATTATTAATTTAAGACATAGGTTTCTGTAAACTGTGCGCAACAAAATACCTGCTTGTGATACACTGGAATCTTGTTACGCGCAGATTTTTTATGGTATGTAGGCAAAAAAGATTAACATTTTTTTTAAGAATCATTATCTCTCGTTGTTGTGGACAGCAATGAAAGAAATCACGTTTCCATGTGAGATCATTTTTGTCATCTTCCGTTTTTTAGCTTTTGTGATATTGAGGGTGAAATTGTGTTTGCTAATGTGCAAAGACAAGTGCGTGGTGCATAATGAGTGCAATTATTATTGAAATATTCTTGTCAAATGTATGTAAATATAATCGTAACCCGTTACATTAATTTGGCAAATCAACAAAATAATCTTTGCAAATTGTTCTACTTGTAAAAGGCTACAAGTATATGTATTTATCGCAAAATACACTTAATATAACTATTTCAAAAGTCTAAACAATTTTCAAAATATTGTCATACAATAATGTATTTTTCATTCTACTCTGCAAATAAGGTATTTGTATATCTGCTGAATTTTGGATCATGATTCAATAATTGTTTTTTAAACTATTGAATCATGCAGTAAAATATCAGTCTAAAATATCAATTCTTTAATTGTGAGTCTTTGGCATCAGCCACTTTTCCTTACTAAATAACGTTTATTTTTGTAGAGTATTGTAAATGCATTATACTTATTGAAAAGTTCACATTATGATTAAAAAGCAATTAAAAATGATGATAGTTATTTGAATACATGAATCAGCCTGTTAATATTAACATAATTTAAATTAATTTTTCACTTCGGAATTCCTATGATTTGTTTTTATAATTGAAACAGGTAATGGAGTTTGAAAAAATTTAATGAATTATATTGCATAAAAGACTTCGAAAATAAGATGTTTATCGGAAAAGTCCTTTTTAATCGGAAATTCCTGATAGATGCATGAGAAAAAATAGAATGAAAACCAGAGTTATTATTATTTTCATAATACGTCAAACATGTTTAAAATTATAATAAAAGAAGTAGTTCACTCATAATGATATATTCACACAGGAAAACAAGGATCACTGTTAATGAGGAGGTTGCTCTATAATCGCTACCGTTTTTTGTAAACTGTACGAAGTATGCGAATGTGAAGGAAATAAATGAGTTGACAGATGTAGATATTCGTTTCATTGTGTTAGAAACATACCGAGAAATGTACAGAAAAAAATGCGACAACTCATGTAGTTGTATTACGTGCTTTGCTACACAATGCTTTATTTTTGAAATTATTGTATATTCCTTATGTGTGCTTATTTAACTAAGGTCCACATGATACGAAATTACTTTTAAAAAAAATCTATACTGATGCTTGATGGTGCATAGCAAATCTTATAGATATCAAAGTAGGTTTACTATAAAAATGCAATGCGAATAATAAATTCCTTTTCATTGCATGTCTTGTGTACACGTTATGACATTCTTTAAAGTCCTTGATCAAGTTCAGGTCTACCTCATCTGAAGCAGAAAATAAATAAAGTAGAAATTCCAAGTTTTTCTAGAAATAGATGGTAGTTTAATTTGTATGCAGAATTAAAGAGGCTGTAATTCCAAGGTACTATAGATTGTGATACAAGCCAACATACACTCTTCATTTAATTGAAATTATTTTTAAGGAATTTTATATTATTGTTCTTATCATTATTACTGGTTAATAATACGAAGATACTTGCATTAAAAACGTAAAGTATATGCATTAACTTTTCAATAAAATACCACTTAAATAATAATTCTTGGATAGCATATTTATTCAATAATAAAATACTCTATATTACATACATATTTGCATTTACCTTATATTTAAATAATGAACATCCAACTGTCCTTATTGATTTTATAAAACTATAGCATTACATTTTAGTTCAAATAACAATAAAATATTAATTTAAATGTTCTCCATTATTTAATTTACTTGCTTATGGTACTTTTTTAAAGATGAATGCTATAAACTGGTCATGCTATGAACAACAATGTTTAGCAAGTACATTATCGTTAACAGATGTACGAAAAAAATTATTTCCCACGAAGAGTGAAATAGATCGTGGACCAGTATTAAGTGAAGACAAATATACACCAAAAACATTAGAAGGCAATTGGTTCGAGCATAGAGCAGTTTATATACCCCAATCTGATGATTGGAGAAGTTTATACGAAATAGATTATAAATCTCATGTTAATAAAACTTGGGAAATAAATCAAAATACAAAATGGAATAATAAATTTAATCTTGAGGTATATAATGATGTCCAAAAATCATAGTTTGCAGTAAATAATAAATAAAAAATGAATGATGTGTAATCATATGTATTAGCTATAAATGAATATAATACAATTATTTTAATATTATATTGATGTTTTATAAAATGTATATTTTTTGTATTTGGAGACAGAGGAAATGGATTCCTGAACAGGATCTTATGAAAAGTTTTGGTACATTAACACAATTTGGACTAAGAGATATATTGAAAGAAGAGATATACAAGAACTCAAAGGAAGGAATAGCGAAATGTCAATGGTGGAGTACTTATAGAGAAGAAATTGGACTTTTAAAACCAGTAAATTTTGAACGAAATATTCAGTAAGTTATTATTTAAAATCAATTACAATTTAAATTAAGTACTTTAACTATGAAATTTTACTTTTTTAAAGATTCAATAGACGAAAAGTCAATTTTAATGTACCAGATCTTAAGCATTTTAAACGCAAATTATCAGATATTGAACAGTGCTTAATTCCATTGAAAATACAAAATTCACAGTCAAATGCTCAAGATGACAAATCAAAAAAATGAAATGTATTAATTTACAAATTAATTTTTTTACAAATTTTAACAAAAATGTAATATCTGAAATAAAAATATTACAATATTTATTTTACGAAGCTATTTTAACATCATATTGTAACACAAACATATTATATATTCTTACAAATACACAAAACACCTTGGATTTCATCATTTTACACATATACATGATTGTTATATGTTATGTACCTCTTAGAAACTATTTTATTAATGCTAATCTTAAATGCATTAAAAATTACAATTAAATTATTTATAGTCTTATCCGTTAATATTAAAAAAAAAACAATATTTTTGCGGAAGCACACAGATATAAATACTAAAATGTATAAATATAATGTAATTAGAAGTAACTTAAAGTTACTCTTATTTCAGTTTCAAAATAATCATGAAACAGTTTTAGGAT